GGATCGAGGTCGGGTCATATTCACACCTTAAACGAACCGTACCAGAGTTCGTTTGGAAGCGGACCGAGACCACCTCTTCAGCTGGGTCTTGGGTATGGTTGTTTGGTCCGCACCCGAGTGCGATTGCTGTATTCACACCTGCCAAAAAGGTCCGCACCAAGAGGGGAAACGTACTTGAGTTCGATTCAGTCGAACCAAACAAGACAGGTGTGAATGCACCCTAAAATGTTTGAACACTTAAAAGTGAATACATGGTAAGTGCACTTGCAGTCACTTTGGATAAAAGTACACAGTGTCTGCTAAATAACTACATACACAATGTACTGGTTGTTAGGCATCACTTGCAGTCATACAAAACAATGCTCCATGGCATTCTCATAAAAAAACAAAAATAAAAAACAAAAACAAAAAACCCTCACTATTTTAGTTTGAATTTATTTGTTTGTGACTGGCTGAGGCTTATTTATAATTTCTTACATTTTCATAATTTATCTTTTAAATAATATCATGTTTAGTCATTTTTAGTTTTTGTATTACATTTTATTGCATCATCATTTTGATTGAATTTTATTAAATATTTTATTTTTTTGTATTTAGATTTTTGTATTTAAAGCATTTAAACGTATTTTTGTATTTAGAAAAAACGATTGTCTTCTATTAGTATTATACAAGTAATAATATTTATATGTATATTTATATTTATATAGTCATGATACATAATACATGATTTTGAGTTGTATCATATTTTTAAATTTCACAACTGCTTAGCTGAAAAATAATTTGAATACACCGGGTTAAAGACACAACAGTCCAATAATTTGTCAAAATTTCATTCCCCTTTCTATTTCTGGTCATGTCATATTGTTAACACTAGGTGGTGCCGTCATCAAAGAAGTGACTGAGGTAGACGAGTCTTTGTACAAAGTCATTCAGGCCCATTATACAGTATGTGCACAGGGATTATCATGTGGACATGTTTTATGGGAGAGACACCATTAGATTGTCTCTTACCCTGATTTCTCTGATCCCTAGTGATTTCAGTTTTATCTCCTTCACACTGGACCATTTTATGCACTATTTTTGAAGGCAGAAGATAACTTTACAGACACTGAGGAGGTACAGATGGCTGCTCTGAAACAGCACCTGTGTGTGAAACCATCTAATTAGCAGCGTAGCAGAGCAGGCCGCAAACACAGACCTTGCCAACTGACGCTCAACTCTAGTGCCCTGGGATCTGACATTGTTTTCAAAGTAGTAAGAATAGCGCTCGAGGCGCAAACAAGTCAAGGACAGCTAATAGAGAGAACTGGCTGCCCCACATAAAGCCTGAAAGAGGAGACTTTGGAAAGTTTGCACAGCTGTTGGGTTTCATTCAGGGCTGAGAGTTGACATAATTACACTGTATTTATTCATAACTCTGCCTGGATGATTTTCGAAGGTGAAGTGTAACATCCACTGTATGTTTTATGATGAATGCTGCTTAGATCATAACTGCTGTAGAAATGTGAGCTGGATGGATGGTCAGATAGATGGACTGACTGGTATAGATAAAGAGATACAGGCAGACAGATAGACAAACAGATAGATAGATAGATAGATAGATAGATAAACAGACAGAGAGAGATAGATAGAAAGACAGACAGACAGACAGAGATAGACAGACAGACAGAGATAGACATACAGACAGACAGACAGAGATAGACAGACAGACAGAGATGGATGGATAGATAGATAGATAGATAGATAGATAGACAGACAGACAGACAGAGATAGATAGACAGACAGACAGACAGAGATAGATAGACAGACAGACAGACAGAGATAGATAGACAGACAGACAGACAGAGATAGATAGACAGACAGACAGACAGAGATAGATAGACAGACAGACAGACAGAGATAGATAGACAGACAGACAGACAGAGATAGATAGACAGACAGACAGACAGAGATAGATAGACAGACAGACAGACAGAGATAGATAGACAGACAGACAGACAGAGATAGATAGACAGACAGACAGACAGAGATAGATAGACAGACAGACAGACAGAGATAGATAGACAGACAGACAGACAGAGATAGATAGACAGACAGACAGACAGAGATAGATAGACAGACAGACAGACAGAGATAGATAGACAGACAGACAGACAGAGATAGATAGACAGACAGACAGACAGAGATAGATAGACAGACAGACAGACAGAGATAGATAGACAGACAGACAGACAGAGATAGATAGACAGACAGACAGACAGAGATAGATAGACAGACAGACAGACAGAGATAGATAGACAGACAGACAGACAGAGATAGATAGACAGACAGACAGACAGAGATAGATAGACAGACAGACAGACAGAGATAGATAGACAGACAGACAGACAGAGATAGATAGACAGACAGACAGACAGAGATAGATAGACAGACAGACAGACAGAGATAGATAGACAGACAGACAGACAGAGATAGATAGACAGACAGACAGACAGAGATAGATAGACAGACAGACAGACAGAGATAGATAGACAGACAGACAGACAGAGATAGATAGACAGACAGACAGACAGAGATAGATAGACAGACAGACAGACAGAGATAGATAGACAGACAGACAGACAGAGATAGATAGACAGACAGACAGACAGAGATAGATAGACAGACAGACAGACAGAGATAGATAGACAGACAGACAGACAGAGATAGATAGACAGACAGACAGACAGAGATAGATAGACAGACAGACAGACAGAGATAGATAGACAGACAGACAGACAGAGATAGATAGACAGACAGACAGACAGAGATAGATAGACAGACAGACAGACAGAGATAGATAGACAGACAGACAGACAGAGATAGATAGACAGACAGACAGACAGAGATAGATAGACAGACAGACAGACAGAGATAGATAGATAGACAGACAGACAGAGATGGATAGATAGACAGACAGACAGACAGACAGACAGACAGACAGAGATGGATAGATCTAAGCATAATGTTGTTAAGAGCAAGTTTTAAGCAAATTGTTGTGTTTGTTTGTTTTCAGTAAGGTCATGTGTTTCCACCCCTGGTCTGACATCACCCTCCCCCTCATGCAGCCCGCAGAGATCCGCAAAGTGATTGACAAGTGGGCAGATCTGATTGTAGAGCTGGGTGCCGAGTACACGTGGGTGCAGGTTAGTACGTCTCGTCCTCTCACTTCTTTTTTTTGGTGCACCTGTTACTTTGCATTCACAAGCAAAACATTTTAATTTACTTTGCACTAAAACACAGCCTTAAGACACATGACTCATCTTAAAATAACAGACATTTTTCTCACTGTGACTCTCTGCGGGGTGTAGCAACTTAATAAAACGTTTGCACCATTTGCTGCCTCAAGAAACTTTCTCTCTAGAAGCCATGGAGTCACGGAGACGTGACTGCATAAGAGTGTGTGTTTAAAGGAGACCGAGGCAGGGACAGCGCTCGATTAGGTTCTGTCCCAGTCTTCCTCATCAGCGCTAATTGGATCAAGTCCTCTCACTTCTTTTTTTTGGTGCACCTGTTACTTTGCATTCACAAGCAAAACATTTTAATTTACTTTGCACTAAAACACAGCCTTAAGACACATGACTCATCTTAAAATAACAGACATTTTTCTCACTGTGACTCTCTGCGGGGTGTAGCAACTTAATAAAACGTTTGCACCATTTGCTGCCTCAAGAAACTTTCTCTCTAGAAGCCATGTGTAAGAGTGTGTGTTTAAAGGAGACCGAGGCAGGGACAGCGCTCGATTAGGTTCTGTCCCAGTCTTCCTCATCAGCGCTAATTGGATCAATTGGGAGATGCTCTTCAGTCAGGGTGTCTCAGAGCTGATCAATGGCAGGCAGTGTGGAGCACTCCTCCGGCCTCTCTGGACACATTAATGCTCCTGCGGGGAATAATGGAGCACTTCAAAGGGTTCCAGGGATATGAATACAGTGAATTAAGATGTTTGTGCCAAAAGATAGTCAACTTATGAGCGTGAGAGAGTTCCTTGAGCATCAGTGGCTTTTTGACAGACTATAGATTCAGTTTTTTGCTTAAAGGTACAGAATCCTACACACTTTATCATTTTATGTTTTTCTCTGAAGTCCACTTATAACGTTAGTTATATTTTGTATGCCAAAAACAGTTATAATTTAGTTTTATATGACTATTTTTCACCCTTTGTTTCTACTTTTCCTTAACACCAATAGATAAATGGCCTCTGTTAGGATTGGCTAACCTTCATATACCTGTATGGATTTTGTCCACTAATTTTTAGTACAATCTGTGCTTTTTCGTAATTTTTTTGTATCTTACTTGTTGCTTTTCAATAGTAAACTTGCACATCTTATTGCACCCACTGTCCCACATTCACATGCACAAGAATGTATGTGTAAGAAACACAAAATCGAATGTTTTTGGATAACTGGGGCCATTTGCATAAACGTAGCCTCTATGTTAAGACTGTGTCTTGAACACAGAACTAGTCTGAACAATTAGCAGTTAGATAAGGGGTAATGAGTCTTATTTTTTCGGATTTAAATTAGACCAATCAACGTTTTTTTTATGTAACTGACTCAAAACAGCTATGATAAATAAATAAATAACTAGATACATAGTCAGTTTGTTAAAATATACTGAAATCACGGCTCGCTGGACGACCCTTGATTTAAAGTGTAACACAACAAATTTGAAATCGGTTTAATCAGGTGGACTTGGGATATTCAGATCCGAGTCCTCTCAAAACCTGAATGAATTAATAATAATTAATTCCCTACAATTACAAATGAATAAGTAATTTCATTACACTGTGTACAACAATTGTCCCTGTGATCATCGGCAGGTATAAACCAACTACTAGTTCTCCAGTTTTCCCACAAACTGATAAATAATGAAGGGAGGACACTCCAAAGGACCATAAAACACATCCAATACCAAATAATACAAGAAGAGTGTATTCTCCTGGAGTGCAGGCATGCAATATACATTAAAGATATGGCAGTGTACAGACACCTCTTCTAATGCACTTTTAATGATGTACGATACATAACGGCTACAAACTATCAAGGAGAGCAGTGCCATCAGTTACAGGGTTAATTCTGTCATTAATTACTCACCCTCATGTCGTTCCAAACCTGTAAGACCTCCGTTTATTTTCGGAACACAAATTAAGACATTTTTGATGAAATCTGAGAGCTCTCTGACCCTCGCATAGACAGCAACACAACTGAAATGTTCCCAGACCCAGAAACGCAGAAACGTAAGGACATCATGCAGGGACAGAGAGCTCTCAGATTTAATAAAAAATATCTTAATTTGTGTTTCGAAGATAAACAGAGGTCTTACGGGTTTGGAACGACATGAGGGTGAGTAATCAATGACAGAATTTTCATTTTGGGGTGAACTCACCCTTAGGGGCAAGGGGCAATCACTGAGCTATCAGCACTGAACTGTACTTGACATGGAATTGCGTTCTTGTGGTGCTCGCTTGCTTGTACAAGCTCAGAATTTTTTTTTACCTTTAGGGATAGAACAGCCTTAAAAGAAGCAACTTAGTATCTTATTTACCCCTAAAAGGTTTGTAGCAGTACCTTAAGTAGAACCCTACATGAACTGAAATTAATTGTGAATTTTATTAACATTAAATCGTCCTCCTCCCATTTTCACCTCAAAATTATGGGGAAGCTGTGCCTCCCCTGCCTCCCCCGACAAGCCGCCACTGCTAAAACGGAATTTGCTATATAATGCGGGATGTCACGGAATTTGTCAAATTTTGGATAAATAAATCAAAAGTAGGTCAGTACACTTAAATCAAATCGCGATATAGACTAGTGTTTGTGAATATTAAACTGCAAAAAGACTATTTAAATATAAACCTTACGTTTTCTATGTCTCTGTGTGACGCACGGTTTCTCTTGAAGCATGCGTGACGCTTGTGGTGTTTTCAGCCTCTGGCGTCTCATATGATGACATGAACACATGAAATTCATCTCCAGCTACTCTGAGAAAGTCACTTCATGAGCATTTTACCACTTAATTTGAGAAAAAACTATCGTATTTACACACACAGAAGCTAAGGTCTTCACAGCAACCTGTCAAAGTAAAAGTTCGGTTTAACTTTAAGAAATTGTGACATAAATGTTTCTGTTATACAGTAGAATGTACGTCTCAATAGATAATAATAATTGCTATTATAAAATTATTATTAAAACATTATTGTTAAGGAATAATCACAAATATTTTTTTTCAATGTTTGAATTTTAACCGTAAACCTCTGTTGTGCGGCACTTTGCTTGCCAAAATAAATTTAATTTCATTTGATTATAAATTTGTTTTATCCCTTCATTTGATTACCAGAATAAATAAATAAAATATCACAGGATCCTAATATAACAGGATCTTAATTAGACATGCTTTTTCATTACTAAAATGTAATTTAACAAAAAAAAAAAAAAAAAAAAACG